TGACGACCACCTCCCTGACGGACTTACTTTCCTGCTCCTCCTTCCTCCTCTTCATCCCATGTTTCCTCCTGCTCGCTTCTCCTCTTAATCTCCATATTCCCCCTCCTGGAGATGCAAAGCACGTGTGTTCCCCTCCACAGCTCCACCTGCGTCGTCGTCGTCCTCCTCCTCCTGCTCCTCCTCCTGCTCCTCCTCAGCCTCCTCCTCCTCCTCCTCCTCCTCCTCCTCCTCCTCCTCCCAATCCCCCTATTCCTCATCCTCCTCGTCCTCTTCCTCCTGTTCACCCCTGCCCTTACCCATACGACCGCCCTGCGGGCGATAAGGAGGTTGGGGCGGGGACTGAGATCAAATGACCACCTTGACTGACCTCCAGCCTGTCACCTTGATCTCATCTCTCTCTCTCTTTCTCTCTGTCTCTCTCTCTCCCTCACTCTCTGTGTCTCTCTCTCTCTCTCTCCGACAAAAATGAATTCATGGATTGGGTTGGGTGGATTGGATTGGATGGGATAAGATGGATTGGATAAGATAAGATGGGTTGGATTGGAAGAAATGGATTGGATAAGATAAGATGAATTGGATTGGCCCGCCGCAGGCGCATAAACAAATGAATTGATGGATCGGGTTGGGTGGATTGGATTGGGTGGGACAAGATCAGATGGGACAATATGGGTTGGATCGCATAAGATGGATTGTATTGGACAATTTGGATTGGATACAATAAGCTGGATTGGATAAGAAAGCCCGCCGCAGGCGTCGAAAAAAATGAATTATGAAATTAGCGACATGCGTTAGCGCCAGGACCCCCGGGACGCCTGAGACACCGCCTGGCCCAACTGGGACACCTCCCGGCCACCGGCGGACGGGAAACGGACTTTCGCTCCTACTGACACCCGGGACACCCGGGACACCGCCCGGCCCAACTGCATGGGACACCTCCCGGCCACCAGCGGATGGGGAACGGACTTTCGCTCCTACTTCGGCCTAGCTACAGGAGGATTGCGCGCAGCTTCGCCTCGCCCGCACGCACGACACGAACACGAAACCGAAACCGATTTCCCGGTGGGGGGTCTCCGTTTCACTGCGATCTCACCCCCCAATCTCCGATACTCCTGCCTCAGCCTCCTCATCCTTCCCGCACCTCCCCTCCCGCCTCCGCCTCCGCCTCCACTTCTTTCCTTCTTTCTGCTGATCCGTCCTCCTCTTCTGTCTCCTCCTCCACATCCTCCTCCTCATCTCATCTCATCTCATCTCATCACATCTCATCTCATTTCATCGCATCGCATCTCATCTCATCTCATCTCATCTCATCTCATCTCATCTCATCTCATCATCATCAGCATCATCAGCATCATCAGCACCCTCATCTTCTTCTCCATCTCATGAACCTCCTCCTTCTCCTCAGCGTCATCATCATCATCATCACCATCATCATCACCATCATAATCGTCATCATCATCAACATCATCGTCGTCATCATCATATTATCCATCAACATCAGCGTCCTCAGCATCGTCATCATCAGTAGCATAATCATCATCAGCATCATGATCGTGGTCATCATCATCATCCACATCAGCATCAGCATCACCATTACCATCACCATCATCATCAACATCAGCAACAGCATCAACATCCGATTCATCATCATCATCATTATCAGCATCATCATCATCATCATCATCATCATCATCATCATCATCATCAACATCATCATCATCAGCATCGTCATCATCATCGTCGTCATCATCATCACCATCAACATCAACAACAACAGTATCATCATCGTCCTTCCTCTCACCCTCCTCCGCCTCCTCCTTCTCCTCCTCCGTGGTCCGCATCCCTGCTGCAACTGGTGCTCCTCATCCAAAGCCTGAGTCGGTTCCGCGACCCACTTCCAGCCACCGCAGGCAACTGTCACTGTGACCGCACAGCCCAGCAATCGAAGACAACGAAGAGAGGAGCGCGCCCCGAAAGTCCTGTCGCTCAAGTTGTACTCCACCTGGCATGGTCGGGCACCGCACCGCCACACAGGAAAGGAAGAGTGCGGATGAATGCGCCTGGCACTGGACAGCATGAGTTCACATGCGAGACAGAGGCGATCAGACAAAGTGCAAATATGTAGACACATTCGAGCATATACACATGGTGCGTATTGATAGTATTAACTCTCATACGTAGATGCATATACAACATATATGCCTGGCCCAGAGCTCAGGTCCCTCCTCTGGCCATGGGCTCGCCCCTCCACCCCCTACCGATGAAATGGGTTCCCTCCCATTGCCGCCTGGCCAAGATGGCCTCCAAGACGCTTCCAAGGCGGGGAAGATGTTCCCAAGAGGGCCCAGCATGACCCCACCATGTCTCCAAGACGGGCCGAGATGCACCCAAGACGGCCCAAGATGATCCACTACGCCCCAAGTGTGCTCCAAGATGACCTGCGGGAGGCTAGCGCTTCTGTTGTTTCTCAATGGTTGCAGCGTCGGGCTTCCCACGCTCCACGACGGCCCCACAAGTCCCAAATATTGCCCCACCACGGCCCCAGATGTCCCGGAAGACTGCCCAAGAAAGCCCCAAGAGGCCACCAAGACGGCCCAAAAGCGCCCAAAGAGGGACTCACGACTGCTCGGAGAGGGCCCCAATAAGGCCTCCGAAGACCAAGAGGTTCCTTAGAGGCTCTCAAAAGCTCCCACGAGATCCCCAAGAGGCCCCAGGAGGTCCCCAAGAGGCCCCTCAGAGGCTCCCAAGAGGCTCCTAGGGAGCCCCCAGGATGCCCCAAGAGGGCCTCAAGAGACCTCCTCTTCTGTTCTTGAGCTTCCTCCTCATCCTTCTCCTCCTCGTCCTCCTTCTCCTCCTCCTTTCCCTTCCTCTCCCACGGGCTCCCCCACAGGGGTTCCACAACGGCTGGGGGGAACACATAGTCCAATAGTTTGGCAAGACTTCGGCCCAACGTTTGGCCACATGGTCGTTTCCAAAAGGCAGGGGCCAGTGGTGATTCGCTGTAAGCGTCTTCGATTCGCAGCGCCGTGTGGATTGCCACCAGGGTGCACGGCGTGCTAGTCTTCTGAATGGTTTGGTTATTTTGTTTCATCAGTTGTCCAATGGGATCTCGGCCAAATATGGCCTCTAAGACGACTACGACGGCCCCAAGAGAGCCCAGGATGGCCCCAAGATGTCTCGAAGACATGGCTCGAGATGGCCCAAGAGGCCTAAACAATTGACTTCACCGAAAATGTGTTCATTATTTTCGCATTCTCGCCTTCACCTTCAAGACGGCCCTAAAGCGCCCGAAGAGGGACCCACGACTGCCTCGAGGGGGCCTCAAGACAGCCTCAGAAGGCCAGGAGGCTCCTTAGAGACTCCCCATCGGTCCCCAAGAGACTCCTAGGAAGCCTCCAGGAGGCCTCAAGAGGGCCTCAGAAGACCTCCTCCTCCTCCTCCTCCTCGTTTTCCGTCTTCTCCCTCTCCTTCTCCTTCCTATTCCTCTCCCCAGGGTTCCCCCACGGGGCTCCACCACGGCTGGGGGAACACACAATCCAATAGCTCGGCCAAACTTCGGCCCAACCTTTGGCCGCACGGGCGCTTCAAAGGCGCCGGGAGGCAGTTATTTGCCGCAAATAACTTCCGTGCAGGGGGTGCTGCATGTTCACTGATCCCTTGTACCCTCCCATCGGGCCGGGCGAAAGGGGGGGATAGCAAAGGGGGGGGTTGAGAATCAGCTCACGTAGCTGATTTTCCCAGCGCCTCCCGGCGCCCGGAGGCGCCCACGTATCGAGGAATGGGCCCCTCGGTGGGGCCGAAACCAGCTGCATGCGTCAGATTTCGTACCCCCCCCTTTCCCAATCCCCCCCGTTCGTTCGGCCCGATCCCAACATGTCCCCAATAAGATCTCGGCGCATCCCGCCGGCCACCCGGAAGGCACCGCAAGAACCAGACAGGCACGACAACTCACATCCAATGTTTCCAAGATGGCCTCCCAAACAGCCGAATCTGGTACAAGATGTTTTTAAATTTCATTGATTTAATACGGCCTAGGAGGGTCCAAGAAGCTTCCACGTTCGCCCAACATGCCTCAAAAATAAGCAAAGACAATCAAAACAAGGTTTTCCGCTGATTTTCGCGTTCTCGCCCTGTCGGGCTTCCGACATACGTCGGAGGCGCGCACACATGGATTAGCGATCAATGGATTTGGCGCGCGGCCGCCAAATCCACGGATCGGGGGAGGCGCCCTCCCCAAAAATGCGGCCGGTGCCGCCCTGTTCGGCGCCGGAGCTCCGCGGTTTCCAATGAAGACGGGACCCGTCGCTCATCCACGCCCCCTCGATCCATGTTTGCGATCGCCCGACTACGAAAATGGCCCGAGATGGCCCCGAGACGACCCCCGAGACGACGCCCAAGATGGCCCGAGATGGCCCAAGACGCCCCCAGAGACGACCCCAGAGACGACCCCGAAAATGGCCAAGATGGCTCGAGAAAGTGGCCCAAGATGGCCCCCGAATACGAAAAGGGCCCAGGATGGCCCCAAGATCGCCCAAAATGGCCCAAGATGGCCCCGAGACGACCCAGGAAGCACCCAGGAGGGCTCCAGGACGGGCCGAGAGGCCCCCAGAGGCCCCCAAAGACGGCCTCCGAGGGCGTCCGGCGGGCCCAGGGCGCCCAGAACGGCACACGAGGCACCCTGGAGGCCCCTCGGAGATCCCGCGAAGCCCCCTCGGAAGCCCCCAGGAGGCCCCAAGAGGGCCCCACGAGGCCTCCTCCTCGTCCTCCTCCTCCTCCTCCTCCTCGTCCTCCTCCTCCTCCTCCTCCTCCTCCTCCTCCTCCTCCTCCTCCTCCTCCTCCCCCTCCCCCTCCTCCTCCTCCCCCTCCCCCTCCTCGTCCTCCTCCTCCTCCTCGTCATCGTCCTCCTTCTCCTCCCTGCGTAATTAGCCGAAACGAATCATATTCTCCGCTCTCCCACGACTGCGTGCTGAACATTGTCCGTCCCTCTCCGAGTAGTCTCTTTTGTATTACACGCATGATTTCACATATTGTTATTTGATCGTATTGGCGGTGCCACTTCCATGGCGTCCCTCACTGCATCTTCTTGGCACCGACAATCTTCTCCTGGCCGATGGCCGCCAGCACCGCGACGAGAATGGAGTCACCGTCTTCCTGCATCTTCAAAATATCTTCGACGACCTTCTTGTCTTCATCAGTCGGCTCACCCGTCTGCACGAACGTGGGCAAATTCAGGTCGTCCTTCGTCTCACCGCTCTCCAGTAGCAAGCTGACCTCGCCAGTGCTCTCGTCAGCACTGAGCAGCTGGTACTCCGTGCGCTTCGTGAAGGGGATCTCCATGTTGTGCGACGTGGGGCACAAGTCCTCGTACTTCTTGCCTGTGAAGATGTCCAGCGCCACGATGTGTGCCTTCGCGTGCCCGTGCTTGCCCGTCTTCGACGTAGAGATCTCTGCCACCTTGCAGGCCTTGCCCTTGATCATCACCATCGAACCCTTGCGGAGCTCCCCGCACTGCTGCGGGTACGTGTGCGAGGAACCCGCATCGACCTTGTCGAACGTGGGCTCGTCATCGTCCGCCATTTGTCGGCGGCCGCTCGCGTGTCAAGCTCCCGCCCGTGGCCGCAAGTGGCCTGGCAACCCGAGAACTCGAGCCACAATGGCTACGGACGCCTTCCGTCAATCGACCCCGTGCTGCCAAATTCTGTTTTGCTTCCCCGAGAAGAAAAACTCGTTTACGGATCGCTTCTCTCATGCCCTGTATGCCTCTCCCCCCCGCGGTAGCCTTCGGGGGACCATGGGGGACAACGCCCGTTGCAAGAGCTCCCGCGAAACCCTCTTGCCCTTCAACGCGTTTCGCCTCTGGGGCTTCCGCTCGGCACAAGGGCACTTGAGATGGCCCAGCGCGTCCCAAGATACCCTCCAGGACGGCCCGAGATGCCCTCCGGCGTGACCTCACCACAGACGCCGCCAATTGCTGTGGCCTTCTCGCTTTTTACGCTTGCGGCCCGTCTTCCGAGCCCCTCGCGCTCACCATATCGACCTGTCGTCCCGGGCGCGCCCAGCCGCGTCGACCAGGGTGGCCCCATGCGGGCAGGAGGAGGAAGAGCAAGAGCAGGATAGCCGACGGGCTGGAGAAGGTCTCAGGAAGGACTCAGATAATACCTAGCCCCAAATCCAACCAACTGAGCATTTCTGAAGGTGGCTTTCGCACTGCTGCGTTGAACGCTTGTGATCGGCCTAATGAAATGGCTTTCAAGACGACCCAGGTGGACCGCAAGAGGTCGCCAAGAAAATCAGAAGTACCCAAGACCAGCCCAACGCGCCCCACAGAGGGCCCATGAGGCCTGACGGCGAGAGAGCCTCCAAGTGCAGCATGGAGTCCGCAAGACGCTCGGTCCAAAAGACCGAACAGGAGCCTCAAGAGAGGCCCCAAGAAGGCTCTCGCGCTGCTGAGAAGTACGTAGTTGTCCGATGGCTTCTGCCTCCCAGAGGCGCCCGCACAAAAAATGGCGACACGAGAGCCACAGAGGGGCCCGAGAGGCCCCCAACGCGGCCCCAGACAGCGCCAGTAAGACTCAAGGCGGCTCAAGATGGCCCCAGATGTGGCCCCAAGGGCCAGCTGGGACGGCGGAGGGAGGAGGGAGGAGGGAGGAGGGCGGAGGGAGGAGGGAGGAGGGAGGAGGGGGGAGGGGGGAGGGAGGAGGGAGGAGGGGGGAGGGAGTGGCCCAAAGAGGCCCCCTGCAGGCACCCAGGACGGGCCTCGAGGGGCGGCCCAGAGGGGGCGCCAGGGCGACCTAAGCCTAAGAGGCCCTTCGAGGTGGCGCAGCATGCCCCCAGGAGATCCCGAGGGGGCCCCTGGACTCGTCGCTGAGAGGGACAGCCCGAAAAAATACATGTTTCGAGTTTTTTAAGCTGATCTGCAAGGAAGCTTCCTTGTTAGATTCTGAGCACTACCTGGCGTGTAAAAAGCTCTACGAGGGGCCCGGCGGTAACCTGGTTGACGGTTTACCGCCGGCTCCAAGTCGCTGAGAGGAACAGCCTCAGGGGGTCACAACTCGTTTGATCGAAGTCGTCGAGGCATGTTGGGAACTGTCACCCAATGTTTACCCGAGAAGAGCTGGATATGCGCAGGAAAAGACATGCTGGCCAAACTTTGACCCAACGTTTGGCCACGCACGCCTTGCCCATCACAAGGAGCGGCAGTGGCTCGCTGGACGCGTCTGCGAAACAAACCAGGGACGATGTAATCACGCAGGGTGCCGATATAGTTGCAAAGCGCAGCGAAATGGCATGGCAACGACGCTTGAACTGCTGAGATGGCAAGTGTGCGTCGCAACACCCGTTAATGCAGAAGAGGACAGTGTCAGAGTACGCGGAGGTAACATCAACGACGGGGGCGCTGGCTAAGGTGAGGCATGTCGCAAGCGAGGAAACACTGTAAGTCCACCAGCCCTTTGGGCTAAGGCGGTCTAGCGATATCTTTCCTTCCCGAAGCATCTTCCCTTCGGGGAGGGGTGCCCTCCCCGTCCCCGACCTACGATTTTGTTGGGCGGGCCACGACGTGTTAGGGAGCCCTGTTTCGCCCAAGATGGCTCCAAGATGGCGTCCAATGCTCCATGATGGCTTTCAAGATGATCCAAGGCAGCCGACGAGAATTCGAGATTGCTTCCGACATACGTCCAAGAGGCCCGACGAAGGCCACAAGACAGCGAAGTGCTCTCGGAACCCCCTCAGGACCCCCACGACAAGCCACCATCCTTCCTCAACCTAGGGAACATCAGCTCTATCCAACCATCCTGTTGTGCTGGGACCTCGTTTGGAAGAGACAGCGCACCGCGTTCCTTCAATATTTCCTTCCTTCCTCACTCCTCTTCCCCATCCTTGCCTCTGCCCCCCGCGCCAGACAACCATTTCGACACACACACACACACCTCACACACTTCGTGGCCTCATAGGGAGCTCCACCGAAAGCCCCCTATGGCTGCGCTTGCAAGCGCCCGCCACATCCATTTCGGTTTACCCCCCGCACGCTTCGCGGCCCCATAGGGAGCTCCACCGAAGGCCCCATGGCTGCGGTCGCACGCGCAGCCCGCACCCATGTCAGCAGACCCCTCACCCGGCACACCCCTAACACGCCTCGTGGCCCCATAGGAAACTCCACCAAAGGCCCCAGTGGCTGCGGTCGCATACGCCTGCCGCGCCCCTGTTTTGGCACACCCCTCACATGTTTCGTGGCCCTCTGCCAGACCTCCGCTGAAAGCTCGGATGGTTGCGCTCGTATGTGCCCGCCTTACCCACGTCGGTACACCCCTCACACTCTTCGTGGCCCCATGGGGAGCTCCACCGAAGGCCCCAGTGGTTGTGCTCGCGTAAGCCCGCCGCGAGCCTTTCGGCATTCCCCTCACACGCTTCGTGACCCCATAGGGAACTCCACCGAAGGCCTGCGCTTTCATGGGTCCACCGCACAAGTTTCGCCACGCCACCCATACGTTTTGTGGCCTCATAAGGAGCTCCACCGAAGGCCCAAGTGGAGTTCCACCGGAGGCCCAAGTGGTTGCGCTCGCATGCGCCCCGCGGAACCCACCGCGGCACACCCCTCACCCATTTTGTGGCCCCACGAGCAACTCCACCGAAAGCCCCTGCGGCTGCGTTCGCATGCGCCCGCCGCGCCCGTTTATGGCGCACACACACAAACACGTCCCACACACACACACAAACACACACACACACACACACACACACACACACACACGTCTCACACGCTTCGCGTCCCACTAGGGAGTCCCACCGAAGGGCTCCAGTAGCTGCGATCGCCTGAGCCCGCCGCACCAATTTCGGCACGCACCCCGCGTGCCTGGTGGCCACATAGGGAGCTCCACCGAAAAAAACAACGAATAACTGCGCTCGCATGTGCCCGCCGTCCCGTCATATCGGCACACATCTCACACGTTCCGTGGCCCCATAGGGAGCTCCACCCAAGGCCCCAGAGGCTGCGCTCGCATGCGCCCGCTGCACCCTTATCAGCACATCCCTTACTCGTTTCGTCGCCCCCAGAGAGAGCCCCACCGAAGACCCTAGCGGCCGCGTTCGCATGCGCCCGCCGCGCCCATGTCGCCACGCCCCTCACCCGCTGCGTGGCCCAGTAGGGCGCCCCGCCGAAGGCTCCGATGGCTGCGCTGGCATGCGCCCGCCGCACTCATGTCGGTACACGCCTCGCGCGCTTCGTTTCCCCATAGGGAGCTCCGCTGATGACGATGCTCCACTTTTTCCCGCTATTCACAACTGCGCATTGTTGGGCCGTTCGCCAGGGGATGTGCGCCTTCAACGTTGGTTACGGGCGCCGGTTGCGGTGGGGCCGCTGTCGCCGATGACGGCTTGGGCGGCGGCGCCTTAGCTGGCGACGGTTGGGTGGACGACTCACCTCGAATTTATAACCGCCGCCCACCTTATCCGGCATCTCGCCAGTTTTCGCCCGATGCCACTTCACCTCGTTCCTCGTTGATGTTGCGGACCTCGTCGACCATCGCGTCGTTGCGGTCGGCCGATTGCTCGGGGCATCTTGTTTTGCCTCTTCGTTTTTTTTCGTCGAGCTCTAACGTAGCAGCGCATGGCGCTGGCTGCGCGGCCATTCTCGACGTCGGCTTTGCGAATGGCGGCGCCATTCGCCTGTTCGAGGGCGACCGAATGACACATCTATTCACGAAGGGCCTCTGTCAGCTTGGTCGCCAACGATCTGAGGCCATCTGCGCGCGTCGCTGGGTCTTCGGTCGCGCGAGGCGCGCGGTCGATCCCCATCTCCACCCCGTGGACTGTCGCGCGATCTACCAGCAGATGCTTGACTTCACATGGCTTGCCTCGCGCCGGTCCTCGCAGGGGTTCGCGGCCTCGGTCTGTCCTCAATGTCAGAACTAATCTCAACATCTCCTATTACCACCCTGACGCGACATCGCCACCTCGGCCCCCCTTGCCCTGGCAACATGAACCTGTCTGCGACTTCGACAGACTTTGCCCGTGACAACTGCGGGCGCCGAAAATCATCTTCCGCGATATCGACCACCTGAGCGCTCTGCGACGGCCGCACTATTACTCTGAGGGGCTGCGGCCGCTTTAGATCCGCATCCGAGTCCGCGGCGTTGGCCCGCGCGTTTTCGCCTGGCCCGTCAGACTTTGCTTCGCGAAGGCCGTCTGGATAACCGCTGATATCTTGGTTCCGTCTCCACCGGTAAGGTTCCATGAGTCGACGGTCTTTGCCGCCTGTTTGGCGGAGGTCCTTCCTGGCCAAGTCAAAACACGTCCTGGACTTAGCGGAATTATTTACGTTCGACCCCTCGCCCTAGACTGTCGTAGTCATCCAGAAACTGTGCATGCCCCCATGGTCTCTTCGGACGTCCCTGTTCCACTATTCCATGCGCGGGTGAGGTTTGCCAGCTTGACGCGGTGGTAGAACGCCCAGATGGAACATGCATGTCGCTCCTTCGTTGGATTTAGCATTTTAATTATTTCCATAATGTATGTTTGGATATATGATCTGGAGTGTCCTCAACAACCTCCTCCGATTTCTGATTCGACGTAACCAGACGGCCGAAATCCGCGCGCATTTGAAACGCGATTGACACCGCGCCCGCAGCGCCTCCCGCAATCGCTCTCCGCGTGCGTCGGATG